GGGGCTTTTCCTGTCTACCTGGCCAGTGCATCCGAGTTCAGATTGCTGTCCAGAGCGGTCACAATGGTGCACTGTGGGATAGCTCCCGGAGGTCAATACCATCGAATTGTGGCCACACTAACCCTAATTTGAAATGGCAATATCGATTTCGGTGCTACTCTGCTCGTCGGGGAGGAGTACAGAAATCGATTTTAAGAGCCATTTATTTTGAAATAAATGGCTTCGTTGTGTGGACGGGTGCAGGGTTAATTCAATTTAACGCTGCTAAATTCGAATTAAACTCATAGTGTAGACCAGGCCCAAGGCTCATTATCTTCCTGTAGAGCTTGTATCAAAAGTCAAATGTAAGATATGAACACTATTAAGATATAGCAATTTTTAATATTTTAAACTAAATGTTTTCTAACCACATATCCTAATTCAAAACTCTTAGCTGTGTTGTGAAATAATGTGCTTAAAATGTTTATCTGAATATTCCAATAGACTCTGTCAGAGCAATGGGGCAAGCATGTTCCAGAGTCAATGGCACTCCACTAATAACATCCTGCCTGCAAATCCTGGATGTTTGTATATAAGGGCTTTTGAGCAAGAGCATCTCAGCTGATTGCAGCTGTTAAGAATGCACATAGAGAGAGAAATTGTTCATTAGGTAGTCAAGTCCCGAATCTTGCAGAATTTGATACATTACTATCAATACCTTAACTGCATCCAGAAATGAACAGGAGGAAGCCTATTCAGACCTTGGAGAATTGATCTAATGTTCTCTGTACATCCTGCCCTGCTAAATAGGTGAGCAGCTGCATTCTGAACCAAGTATAATTTCTAAATGGTCTTTATGGATAGCCCCATATGAAGCATATTTTAATAATTCCATAAGGAAATCACAAAGGCATGAATAATTGTTATGAGATTCATGAAAGAGAGAAATGTTCACAACCAAATGGAAAAAAACACTTGGCTACTAATGTTTCCTGGGAATTCAGAAGGAGTCAGGGATCCAGCAGTACACCGATGTTGTGAAAATAGGGACCAATATCATCCCCACCAAATCCTTTAGATGCTTATGCCATCCTAAATTTATCACTGTTTTGTCTGGATAGACTTCAGACAGCTCAGTGTCTCATTCAAGCCCCTATTTTGGTCAGGCATTTGAAAGCGTGGTGATCATCCAAATCCAAATCTGAACTGTGCCATTGATCCAACTTCCATAACGGAATGAACCAAAATTCTGGAACCAAACACACATGAACTTTGTAGTTTTGGCCCATTCTATTTTTATCTTTGGTGAAGCTGACTTGCTGTATTAGATGGTACCTTTTGATGGTGGGATGTCTAATTGCTTTCCCGTTAAGACAGTTTTTAATAATATTACCCTTAATATTGCAACATATTTTTCCCATCTATTGAATGACTTATTTTAGAGATCTGGTATTATTTCTTTGCAGGTTATGAATGCGAGCCATACAACAATCCTGCTGATTTTTTTCTGGATATCATTAATGGAGATTCAACTGCTGTGACACTCAGCAAATCAGAATCTGTCAGTCAATACAATTTATCAGGTATGGGAGCTGGAGGTCAAGTGATTGTCCACACTGATCCCATTCATGATGCACATGCACCCCAGGTGTGCGAGATCGGATTCTTTTTGAATAGCAGTATCTGTTATGGCCACACCTGAACCCCTAATGACCTCTTGGCTATCATAGGTGAAGGATAAGAGGTGGAGTGGCTGCAGTCATTACTCTGTTCCTTCTTACTAACTGTGGTGCATGCCAGAACACGTGTCTTCATGCAACATAGCTTCTCCTAACTCACTTTGTGAGCTCGGTTAGCTTTTTAAGATTTAATTTATTAATTTTTAACTTTACTTTCTTTGTTTTGCCTGTTGGGAGGGGACTTAACTAAGAGCTTTCCAACCCCCCTCCTGTACACAAGTGTATTCCCACATCATACCAGATTCCAAGTCTCTGGGCTTCAAGACCTGCCAGTTGTGCAACTGTATCATGCCTATTAACAACAGGCACTCCAGATGTCTCACTTGCCAAGGAAAGGAGTACATACTGGAGCATTGCTCCCAGGGCTGCCCAGAGAATTCAGGGGGCATGGGGCAAAGCAATTTTGGGGGCCCCTTCCATAAAAAAAAAGTTGCAATACTATAGAATACTATATTCTCGTGGGGGCCCCTGTGGGGCCTAGGGCAAATTGCCCCCTTTGCCCCCCCCCCGGGCGGCCCTGATTGCTCCATATGCCGCTTCTTATGTAAAAGCAGAAAACTCTTTTGTTTCTAATTTTGTGCCCGCAGTTACTTGTGGGTAAGATTACAGCTAGATTGTGTGATTCAGCCTCCAAGATTTTAACGTAGTTTTCAGCTTTACATTCTCAGGGAACTTCTTGGGGAGTTGCATTCAGAAAATATAAGCTCCCTGAGAATATGAAGAGAAAATTGTGTTACTGTCTTGGCATCTGACCACACAGTTTATTCTGGGACATGTTTGGTTTGCCATTAGATATTCTGGCCACCCTGGAAAAAAGGCAGGAGGCAATAGATGTGGTTTAACTAGGCCACAACTTCATTCACTTAAAATACCTGGGAGTATACCCAGCAATAAACTGTACAGTGCATGTCATCATTTCCACATGGTCCCCAACCTGGTCCTAGGTATCCCATTGCTGGGATTCTTCTTTGTGCCCGATACGGAAATAAACTTGAGCTTTGAAGCTTGAATCCTGATCTGAATTGCTGTAACATTCTGTAGGTTTGGATGTTGGATTCTGGTTTAGCCTCATCTCTATTTATTTATGGTAAGAGATTTTTGAGGATAAAATGTAGCCCTTTCAGGGGGAAAAGAAAACTTCAGCATACCTAAACTGCCATGAACTAATTTGTGTCGTTAGCTTTCTACTGCTGTTGCTCCTACAACAATATTTTTCTTTTTAATCTGAAGAAACCATTGAAGAGGACAGAGGTGATAAGACTATTGCTGAGAAATTAGTGGAGTTGTTTTCCAGTTCCCCTTACTACAAAGAAACAAAAGCAGAATTAGAGAAGCTGTCTTTGAAAAATAAAAGGAAGATGAGTGCAGATTTCCAGAAAATCACATATAGCACTTCCTTCTTTCACCAGCTCAAGTGGGTGTCCAGACGCACATTTAAAAACTTGATATATAACCCACAAAGCTCCATGGCCCAGGTAATTGTAGTGAATCTTTAAAACATGAACAGTTATAAATAGTCTGTTTCTTTCTGAAGATGAGTTGGGTTGAAATATACAATGTTGGCTTCTAATAATTAAGAAATGAAGAAAAAAACTTCCAATTGATTAGCCAACAGTATGACTTTAAATAGTCTTTCACATTGTGGAAATCTTTACATAGTCATAGATCATATTAACAGAGAAATCCATAGACCTTCATTCTTTTCAGTGCTGCCCTTCACACTTTTGCTAATTATCAAATACAGTAGAACCTCAAAGTTACGAACATCAGAGTTACGAACTGACCTGTCAACCACACACCTCATTTGGAACCGGAAGTACACAAATAATGCAGCAGCAGAGACCAAAAAGAAAAAAAAAAGCAAGTACAGTACAGTACTGTGTTAAACGTAAATTACTAAAAATAAAGGGAAAGCAGCAGTTTACTTTTCATAGTAAAGTTTCAAAGCAGTATTAAGTCAATGTTCTGTTGTAAACTTTTAAAAGAACAACCGTAATATTTTGTTCTGAGTTATGAACATTTCTGAGTTATGAACAACCTCCATTCCTAAGGTGTTCGTAACTATGAGGGTCTAATGTATGTGTTAAACAAAGGTTTTCTGCTACACAGTCCAACATCTCTTTATATTTCGTCATGCAATAAAGTCAGAATGCTGTCTGTTTGATAACATTCATTTCCAAAGCGGAGGATTGTTTTTTCAGAAATAAATGAGATCTTGTAATCCTAACACAGACAAAATTCCTTTTGACTTTAGTGAAAATAGGATCAGACCCTTTGGGCCAGATCATGCCACAATTACTTATGCGGAATATCTTGTATTCTGCATTTGGTCCCATTGATTCAAATAGGACAACTCAAGGAGCAATCTACTACTTTAGTGGCACAGTCTGGCCACTAAATTGTCACTCTTTGTAGAGCCTCTGTAGATTTTATAGTATAATTGTCTTTGAATTGTAATGATGATGATGATGATGACAGCAATATTATTTTACATTTTCTTGATGTCTTGACTATCATATTGTGGGTTTGAACTAGGATAGATCGTATTTTTCCCTTTTCTTACCTTTGCTTAACATGTACACTTCTGGAGCAGCAAATGGAAGGATTGATAAACTATTTAGAATTGATAGATTAATGACAACAAATACAGTAATATAAATGGTATGCACTGATATGTCCCACCACTACTTTGGCCAGATTCAGCCTGATCCTTACAATGGTGTCCAGTGAAAAGAGGGATGCACAAGAAGCCTTCCCTCCTTCACTTGCATAATCCATATAAGGATCAGGCAGAATTGCAGCCCCATAAAGTGGGGATTTCAGGGACTGCTCCCATGTTACTCCATTTCCAAAAGGGTGAGGAGGGGCAGGTAGGAAGTGAGGCCATGGCTCTGCCCTTTTTAAGCACTGACCAACAGTGTTGGACAGCTATGCAAGGGAGTAGGCTTCGCCCTACAAAGCACTGAAGTATTGCATATGCAGAGTCTGCATGCCCAGGAGCTCCAGTACACATTCTATCTGAATGCCTTTGGTGCTCTCATTGGCCCAGTGCATCTCTGAACTGTGCTTAAATGCACGTCTGCATTGCTCTGCACTGAACTGTGCTTAAATGACACAATCAAACCTTTGTGAGCATTTTTCAACAATGATGCAAACATTTTCCAAAAGACTATGATCACCAGCATACGGGAGATCTGTTCAGAATCTCTCAAGTTAAAAGGTTTTTGGATGTATATCTGTATGTTGATATTATGGATATCCCTAATAATTGGTTTGTAAAAGCTTGATCTTGTGACAAGAATTATACTCTCAAGCTTTATAATACTCCAGGGTTAATGGTCCTGACTTTCTTTCTCACAATCTTTTCTATCTCCCAAACCTCATTAGGAATGGATTTCAAATACATTCTATAAATGGTACACAGTTCACTAAGCTGTGTTTGCTAATCCTCTCCAAATTGGTCTTGATGTGATCCTTGTTTTCCACTACAATTAGCTTAGCGGCTGAATTATCCCTGACATTTGGTCCTTTCAGCAGGTTCTTAGTGATATGGTACCATGTATGAAATGCTTTATAGTGTTAAGACTCATACATCCCTCATGTTTAACCATGACTGAACTGCCTGACACCATCATTTTTGCTGATTTTTTTTTGCTTCTACATATTAAGAAATAATCATGTACAAATTTTCATCATTCTGATTATGTCATTAAAGCCATTCATACTTTTTTATCTGTTGGAAAAATTCATGTTACTATTGGCTTAAAACTAACAATAATTGGATTGTTCTGGATCAAGTAGGCTTTAACATCCTTTCTACTGGGCTTTACTGTGAAATAAATTATTAATATGGTTCAATCCCCGCCCCCCAGATCCATTATTGAATAGGCTTAAAATACACCTCTTGTTACAAGCACAAAGTTGCTACTTTAAAAAAAAATATTGTTTGAACCTAGCATTTGAAAGAAATAATAGTTTAGAAGTGATTTCTTTTCTGCTTTATTGTTTCAGTACAAAAGTGAAGGAGGTTTCTCTTCACTTCAGCAATGTCTCTGCTCCCTCCTCTGCACTTAGTTTATTAAAGATCCCTTT